TATTTAATGTTCTGCAAAGAAGGAAGCTGCCAACCTAGAGTTCTATTCCCACTGAAAATATCCTGAAAGAATGAGGGCAAAACAAAAAGATATTACACAAACAAAAACTGAGATACCTTCACTAAATGTAATTCGTAAGGATCCTTTCAACAAAAAGTGATCCCAGATGGAATGCCTGATTTGCAAGAAGGAAAAAAGAGAAAAGAAAATTATAAATACATTGGTAAATCTAAACAACCGTTAACTATGTAAGACCTTAATAACAGAGTATAATTAGATTAAAAAACATAAATTAGAAAATACATGATTATAATAACATACAAATATGGATAGGAGGTGAAATGAATTCAAAAGTATTCAAAGAACTTAGTTATATCCAGGAGAAGAATAAAGATACTGACTTTAGACTGTGCTAAGTAAACTGTGCTTGTTAGAATGTTCAAGATAACCACTGAAAGAATAGAAACAGCATATAACTTCCAACCCCAGACAGAGGGAAAAATGGAATAATAAAACCAGAAATTATTTATAAGTAACAAAATGAAATTGAACTTCTGCATCATACTAGAAGTATCCCATGGTTTATGTCTGGGTTCTGTTTCAACGAGTCCCTTGTAAGCTGGTTCTGACATAAATAGAATGCCTTTTTTTTTTTTTTTTTTAGTTTTCATTATTGCCTGCTATATGGCAGTTTTAAACAGTAAATCATAACATTGAACATCTGTGAGTGAACATCTGAGAATGATAATATCAGCAAATTACTTGCTGCAACACTCTTTGTAGTACATAGTACTAACGATAAGACGTACAAAAAACAAACAAAAAACACACAGTCGTAAGTTCGGTTTGTCGTAACTCGGATACATCCTAAGTTAAAGGACTACCAGGTGAATTATAAATATGAGAATGCAAAACCTGAAAGCACTTAGAATCACAGTAAAGGGGAATAGCTTTATGATGTCAGGAGACAGAAGAATTTTTTAAACAACACACAAAATTCACTAAAATTTTGACCTTTCCTTTATCAAACAGTACCAGAAAGAAACTAAAAAGACAAGCTACAGAATGAGAAAAATTTTTTAAATACGTATAGCTGTTAAAGCATTAGCATCCAGATGGATATAAACTCCTATAAATCAGTATATCTGTTGACAATTGGCAAAATACTTGTAATACACACTTCACAAAAGAAAAAATACAAATGGCCAAAAAACATGAACATATGAGCAACTTCACATTCCAAATTAGGAACACACTGCGTTACCATTTCACACCGACCAAACTCACAAAAAATTAGCATGTGGGACAAAGGGAACTCTTATATTCTGCTGGTAGGAGGGTAAATTAGTACATCCACTTGGGAAAACTTTTCAGTGTTATAAAGTTGCAGATGCATATACACTGTTGTTATTGATGCTATTAGCTGCAATAGATTCGGCCCCGACTCGTGGTGACCCTATGCGCAATGAAACGAAACACTTGTTTGGTCCTGTACCATGCTCATAGTCAGTTGTGGTTGTGACCCATAGGTTTCCATTGGCTGATTTTCAGAAGTAGATCACCAGACCTTTCTTCCTAGTCTGTCTTAGTCTGGAAGCTCCACAGAAACCTATTCAGTATCATAGCAACATGCAAGCCTCCACTGACAGATGAGTGACGGCTGTGCATGAGGTGCATTGGCTGAGAACTGAATGTAGGTCTCCTGCATGGCAGGCAAGAATTCTACCACTGAATCACCAGTGTCCCTACATACACCCTACGACCCAGCAACTTTACTCCTAGATATTACCCTGGAGCAAATATTTCACATTTGCACCAGAATACACATATGAGAATGTTCATGATAGCATTTGTTCATAAGAACTGAAAACTGAAGCTATTGGAAAGTCCCTCAATGGTGAAATAATTGAGTGATTTATAGCGAAAGAAATGATTTTACTATAGCTACATGCAATAGCATGGATGGATTTTAACCACATAATGTTGAGCGAAAGACACACATCTTAAAGAATACATAGACTGTGATGCCATTTTATCAGATAAAAACAGGCAAAACTAAATGAAATTGCTTAAAATTGCATGCATAAATAGTAAAATTATTATTTAAAACCCAGCTAGAAAATGATTTTCGAAAGTCAGGATAATGGATAGGCACCTCCAAAGGGGAAAGACGGATTTTGTGATCAGAAAGCTGCATACAAGGGCTTCTACCAGTTACTACCAGTTGCTATGGAGTTGATTCTGACTCATGGAGACTCAGTGTGGTATTAGAGTAGAACTCTGCTCCATAGGGTTTTCAATAGCTTCTAAGGTGCTGGAAATGTTTGATTTCTTGAACAAGTTGGTGGTTACAAAGGTGCTCACTTTGTAAATGTTTTTTAAATTGTACATTTTTTTTTATGTACTTTTCCATATGTATGGCACATATTTTTTAAAAATGTAAAAAAAAAAAGCATATAAAATAAAACCAAACATTTATCCAAATTCTAGAAGAACAAATACATCAGTCTTTGAAGAAATACAACTGGAATGCTCCTTAGAAGTGAGGATAGCAAGACTTCAGCTCATTTACTTTGGACATGTCATCAGGAAAGACCAATCCTTAGTAAAGAACATCATGGTTGGTAAAGTGGAGGATCAGTGAAAATGAGGGAAACCCCCAATGAGATAGACTGACACAACAGCCACAACAAGGGATTATACCAACAGTCTTGCGGGCGGCATGGACCGGCAATGTTTTGTTCTGTTGTACAGAAGGTCACTTTGAGTAGGAGCTGACTTGATGGCAACTAACAACAACAAAGCTGTTAAAAATTACAATTCAGAAAAGAAATGGGGAGAAAGAACATTTTAATAAATTGAGAAAGGCTGTGTAATGGTTTGTGTTTACAAGTGGTGCCATAACACTGACAAAAACCACGGTAGATTTTCTGTGTATCATTCAATTATGAAAAAAAAAATCAACAGCAATCTGAGCTCATTCTCTCTATTGCTATAAGAAACCTAGAAATGCATCCGTCTGCTCCAGCAATTACCCTGCTGGCCTTTAGACAAGTATGATTGGTCAATTTAAGATGATGCTTAATTTTTAAATTAGAATATTTGAGAAAATGTTTATCTTCCTTTTGAATAAACATTCAGTATTTTTTAAATGACATAAAACCATAAATGAAAAATAGGAAGGAAAAATTAACCTATCTTCACAGCCTAAAGAAGCTGTGAGTTACAGAATTATCCTCGGTGAATCTGGCCTTTTGTAAATGTTTGGAGTGCAAGGAGATACCGGATTTTGACCCTTACTAATAGTATATTTTTGTTACTATTAGTGAAAACCTCTGTTCATGACATTTCTATGGATTCAGAATTAAAAACTAGTAATCTTCCCTGCTCAAAAATCAGATTACCATTAGTAAGAACTATCTAGGATTCATGGCTTATCAGTATATAATCTCTCCCATATTCCATAGCTACAGTCAATTGTAAATTTTTGAGATAGAATATTCAAAACAACTTTAGCAGATAATTGGTAAGTTGACTTTGAGAATGTATCTCTTAACTCTGCTATCAATTACTGTAACCAAGCCTTGGTTGACTATTTCTTCAAATGGTCCAGGTCACTATTACTCCATTTAAACTCTCCTTCTTGATGTCTTCCTATCACTTTGGATGTTGATACAGTCAGCAAACCAGCAGCATGACCTGCAAAAAACTCATCATTTTAATTTAAAAAACAAGAAATGAAAATAAAAAGCTGGGGAGAGAGAAACAGCAGTGTTATCTTTCTGTACAGTTTTCTGGTGAAGATTCAAAACTAGTATTTAAAAAGCATAATTCTTTTTTAGTATGCCATTGTCGTGTTTGTTAGTTTTCATCGAGTCATTTCCTACTCATGGCAACCCCATGTAAGAAGGGAGGTATAAATATATTGATGGTTTCTGAATTTTCAAGTAACTGTGATATCTTAAAATGTTAAAATTGTGTACTGCAGTTAATCTTGCTCTGTATAAAGAAAAGAATTGACTGGGTGGTCCCTAATGTCCATTTTAAATTTATCAGCCAACAATCAAATATATTTGATATTGTGCCCTATTTGAGCCATCAGGCATTCTCCATGTATTCAGCATTAATGTCATTCTTGTGTCTACTTTATCTTCCTGAGCCCCAGCTTACACCATTTTGTGTGATGTAAAATTATTAGCAAGTTACTAAAAATTTCATTATCTGCATATAATATATGTGTATATAATACATGGAACGCTGGTGGTGCAGTGGTTAACAGCTCAGTTGCTAACCAAACGGTCAGCAATTCGAATCCACCATCCACTTCTTGGAAACCCTATGGGGCAGTTCTACTCTGTTCAAAAGGGTTGCTATGAGTCAGAATCTACTTGACAAGAATGGGTTTTTTTTTTTTTTCTTTATGTAATGCATATGTATTTCAATAATTTGGAGATGGCCTTTATCTTATCTGACTGGTAAGTTAAAATGTAAAATCTATTCTGGTCCAAAGCAAAATGTAGATGTGTAAGGGGTTTCTGTTTGGCCTACTCAGGCTATTTGCATGTTAAAGTCCAGGCTACCCTGAAGCCAAGTAGAGTTTTTTATTAGCACATTGGTTGCCCCCCTGTAGCAGATCATAGTAAGTTAAGGTCTCTTTGGGGAGCTCTCTGGGCATCTTGTATCCTATCTCCGATTGTGGAGAAGATCCTTTTGCCTCTCACAAGTAGAGAAGCTTTCTTCTTCTATGGTTAGACAAGGTACACCAACCTTGTAGTATGCATTTCCTTTCCCCTACCTTTTGCCTTGTCTCCCTGGATATTCCCAAAAGAGGAGGTAGTGAATGGTCCATCCAGTGGGCCCCATTGTGAATATACCTGGTAAACCAGGCGTTGAAAGAGCAGTTTACCAGAGTCGGTGTCCTATCATCTGATTTACCTGATTACACAGAATTTCTGAGAGGAAAAGCGAACAGCAACTTTCCATCTGATGTCTCTTTCCAGAAGGACACCTTACAGTCGGATCTCATTGTCTGCTCAGTCGCTGCCGTTCTCTCGTTTGCCGTCAGTGCCAGCACTGTATTCCTCTCCTTGCGCGTAGGTATCCATTCAACTTTAACTCTTCCCATGGCCCGTTCTCTTTAATAACAGAGCTGATTGTGGAGCTATAGGGTATTGACAACGAGAGTTGAGCCAGAGGAAGAAAACAAAATGCCAGTTGAAAGATTTAAGGAATATATCCTCATTTTGTTAAAAGTTATGTCCAAGATGTGATCTGGTCCAGAACACAAACTTGGTTCAGTTCGTTTATCCTCACTCTTTTTCTCAACCAGGGAGTTGTTTTGTTTGTAAGAGCAGTAACATATCTTTGTGGAGTCTGCTGTGGTGATGATTAATAGCAATGAGACAGGCTAAAGGTGTAGCACCATAAGTCAGGGAGAGAGGAGAGGCCTTCCCGCCAGTTACTGTATCAGGTGTGAGACAGAGATCACAGAGCCAAAAGGATTATTGGAACATGATTTTCAGTTAGAAAAACAAAAGTGGAGGACTCTGGGAGAGATTTGTGGCTTAAAGTACTTACAGAGAGTTGCTATCTCTACCAAAAAAAAAAAAAAAAAAGCCCATTTATTAACTCCCCTTTCAATGAAGAAAAATCTGTTAGCAAAATTTCTTATCTCCACCTCTTCTTATAAGAAAACAAACAAAGAAAAAAACACATGCCAATTGGAAACCTTCCTCTTGGCCTGTGTAGTGCACAGGCCAGCTCTCCACTCCAATCTAGTGGGTCTCAACACACAGATCAGGTGCCTCTAGGTGGAAGAAACCTTCAGGACCAGAAACAACTGAACTTGACCATCTGCTCTTTAAGATGAAAAAGGGGAAGCTATAACAGCATCATATACCATCTATGGGCATCCCTTGGCATCTCTTTCTAAACGAGATAAGGAGACTTTTCCCTCTTTCCTTACAGCCGTTTCTCAGCATCGTGCTCTTTGTCCTAGCTGGCACCGTGGGGTTCCTAGCACATTATCTCCTCCCTCAACTCCGCAAACATCGTCCCTGGATGTGGATTTCTCACCCTGTTCTTAAAAACAGGGAGTATCAGCAACGCGAAGTGACAGGTTAGTAATGTATCCCTCATACTCATAATAAAAAAATTATAGTGGTAGATGTACTTTAAAATGGAGACTGGGTTTGTTTGTTTTTTAAATTATTGTGCTTTATATGAAGGTTTATGGAGCAAATTAGTTTCTCATTAAATAATACACAAATTGTTTTATGACATTGGTTGCCAATTCTGTGATGTGTTAATACTCTCCCCTTCTCAACCTTGGGTTCCCCATTTACATTTGTCCAGCTTTCCTCTCCCCTCCTGCCTTCTCATCCTTGTCCCTGGGCTGGTGTGCCCATTTAGTCTAGTATACATGGTTGAGCTACATGTACTATTGTTTGTTTTATGGGCCTGTCTAATCTTTGGCTGAAGGGTGAACCTCAGGAGTGACTTCCATACTGAGTTAAAAGGATGTCCGGGGCCCATACTCTCAGAGTTTTTCCAGTCTCTATCAGACCAGTAAGTCTGGTCTTTTTTTGTGAATTAGAATTTTGTTCTAGATTTTTCTCCAGCTCGTCTTGGACCCTCGATTGTGATCCCAGTCAGAGCAGTAAGTGGTGGTAGCTGGGCACTATTTAGTTGTGCTGGACTCAGTCTGGTGGAGGCTGTGGTCCATTAGCCCTTTGGACAAATCTTTCCCTTGTGTCTTTACTTTTCTTCATTTTCCCTTGCCCCAGATGGGGTGGGATCAGTGGAGTGTCTTAAATGGCCACTCACAGACTTTTAAGACCTCAGATACTACTCACTGCAGTTGGATGTGGAACGTTTTATTTATAAGCTATGTTATGCCAGTTGAGCTAGATGTCCCCTGAGACCATGGTCCGCAGCCCTCAGCCCAGTAATTATGTCCCTCAGGGAGTCTGGAAGTGTCTACGAAGCTTCTGTGACTTTGCCTTGGTCAAGTTGTGCTGACTTCCCCAGTATTGTGTACTGTCTTATGAGACTGGGTACTTTGAAGTATACAGTGTTACTCCCATATATCCTAGCCAATCAGAACAAGAAAGTTGAAGTGAGGTGAATTAGAAGTATGTTTTATACAAATATTAGTTGGTTGTTAGTATGTGAGAAAAATTTAATTTATGCCATTAAAACCTGAAGATTATGCTGTTCCAGCTTATGTTAAGTGGGGACTAAGAAGAACATCACTTGGTTGTCCTGCCATCCTCCACAAAATGGTGAAGGTGTAGCAGACACAGGCATTTAGCTTTCAGAACCCTTGAGCTCTTGAATTTTCTTTAACTTGCTTTATTAACTTGAGAAGTAGATGGCCTGTCTCTGGCCATGATTATGTACTAGTCTGATAATAATGACAATTTCAGAGGTTCTACATAAGAGATCTCTCAGGAATTATCCTACTAGTTCTCTCCTTGTCTCTCTGTGGCTCCATGTTCTGTGACTGAATAGATGGGAGAAGTATTGCTATTATCTCTTCTTAAGATACATGAAAGCTATCGGTCACAGTTTATCACTAAGCTGACTAATGCTGCTAATTCTGCATGCAATTGTTCCGCCTCTAGTAACTTCTCAGACGTTTAAGTGACTTATCTAGGTGTCTCCATGACCAGGCTTAGGACTATACAAGGGCAGCCAAGATTTGCTGATTCGAGGGAAAGCACTAGACTCAGCCAGCTTTGTCATTAGCAAGTCCAGTAGTTTAGTGTGAAGAAAGAGAAAGGGGGAAAATAATTAAAAAAGAAGAAGCAGAGGAGCTCAGGAAGATGCTGCCAAGATAGAGAGCATTTCTTCAAGAAGCATGCCCAGGTAAGTAAAAGGAGCTGCCTTCATTAGAAACATCCAGAGTAAAGTATGCCAACGTGAGGAAACTGTGGATTGTTTAGTGGAGAAGTAGGGTATGATGAGCTTGATGCCAGTGTTTGTTGTTATTGTTGCCATCTGAGTCTACCCTGACTCACAGGACCCCGTGTGTGTCAGAGTAGAACTGTGCTCCAGAGAGTTTTCAATGGCTGATTTTTTGGAAGTGTATCACCAGGCCTTCCTTCAGAGCTGCCTTTTTGTTGGTGGCTGAACCTAACCATTTGCATCACCCAGGGACTCCACTGAATATAACAGAGCCCAAATTAAATTAGAATCATTTATGTATTTTAAACCTGCATGACTTTTTTCAGTATTGGATTAAGGAAAGAATAAAACGTGTGGGTATATATCTGTCCTTTCCTCTTTGAGGGGAGAGCAGGCGGCACTGGGCCTCTGTGTATCTTGTAGAGCAGGTCAGGAGAAGTTCACACTTGTTAACACAGGCTCCACCAGAGGCTTTGTGGATGTTTCTCACTTGCCTCCATTAGCTGTCTATAAGCAGCCTGATCTCTAGCCAAGAGCAACACGTTTGACAAATTAGGTATGTAATGGAAAACAGACCTGCATTTCAGAATCATGTGTGTTGGAAGGAAAAACTAAATACACAAAATTTAAAATATGGTTGTGTTATTTAAGACCTAGTATCCATTTTGGTATCCTCCAGGCCCTGAGTTTTTTTGCCTCCTCTTCCTGATGTTCTGCCTTTTAGGTATTTCACTCTTCATTTTATCCACCAGCAGCAAAACATGCACAGGAAACTCAAGCCAGTCAGATAACTTCTAACATGAAAACTGTGCTACAATCTTCTTTCTCATAGAATTCAGAATGTTATACCTGAAAAGAGCTTGGATCAGAGCAGGAATAGCAGGTCTGTAGCATGCCACTTGAGTGCCCTGACCCCACGGCAGACATCACTAACTGATTAGCAACTGGTTAACTGGTTGCTACTGAGTAGATTCTGACTCATGGTGACCCCATGTGTGTCAGAGTAGGTTTTCAACAGCTGATTTATTGAAAGTAAACCACCAGGGCTTTCTTCCAAGGAGCCTCCGAGTAGACTCGAACCGCCAACCTTTTTGTTAGTAGCTGAGCTTGTTAATCATATACACCACCCAGGACTCCTAATTGATAACAGAACCTTAAAATTGGGCCAGCGACACACACTGATAATAAGTGGAGTTGGCATGTGAAATGAGGCTTATTTGGAGTTCCTGGATTAGAGTGTATGTAAACTTATTCTATCCATTTACATAGGAGGAAATTGAAGCCTAGAGAATTCAAGAACTTACCTTGGGTCAGGAAACCCTGATGGCGTAGTAGTTAAGAGCTACAGCTGCTAATCAAAAGGCTGGCAGTTCAAATTCACCAGGCTGTCCTTGGAAACCCTAGGGGCAGCTCTACTCTGCCCTATAGGGTCACTATGAGTTGGAATCAACTTGACGGCAATGGGTCATGCTGAGATTGTGGCCGATGACTGACGGGGATCCGCGTCATCTCGCTCACGCCCAGTCTCGTGCTCTTTTGGCTACCCTGGCTGCTCTTGGTCCAGATGGCTGATAGTGCATAATGTGACTGTGGCTCTCAGACTGTTTTTGCAGGCATCATTACCCAGAAAAGCCGTATCACTGTGGTGGGTCTCGCAAAGTCTAACATGCGTATCCTAATACTACTAACTCTACAGGGCTTTACTTGCTGGTCTGAAATGGACTCACCACAGTAGGTTCTGGGCATTCTTGCTGTCTCTCAAACACACCACACTCTCTCACTTCCCTCAACTTGCTGTTCCCTTGGCCTGGAACACTTTTTCTCAAGCTTCACCAGGCTAACACCCACTTTAGGTCCTTCAGGACTCAGTTTAATGTTCAATCCCCTCAGAAGTCCTTTTCTGACCACCTAGAGTGGACCTGATTCCTGGCTGTGCCCGAAGCCTCCCTTTCCATGACTTTCACTGCCCTCATAATGACCAGTCTCTGAGGTGGCCTGTGAGCTCCGAGCCAGCTTGCTCATGGCTGGTGCTCCAGTGCTTACACTGGTGCCTAGCACAGAGGTAGGCTCGTGTAGTAGTGTTACTAATCTAAATTTGACTGAAATATTGTTGGCTCTGTATCCCCTGAGCACATTTTGAATTTGGTCCATATACTTTCTTGCAGTTTACTTTCCTTTCTTCGTACTTCTGATACATATTTCATGAGTGACCGGTGGATTCGAACTGCCAACCTTTTTTTGGTTAGCAGCCAAACTCTTAACCACTGCGCCACCAGGGATCCTTGGTAGAACAAGGAGGTACCAAATTAATTTTCATATAAAATTCTGAATATGATGAAATGGAATTAAATATTCAACCTCAACTAAAGTTGAAGACTGTAAATTGAAAGATAACTTTTCGGCCATTTCAGTTCCTTACCTTTGAGACTAATTTATTTACATAAAACTCAGCTCATCCTAACCCCAACGAACAGTTTCATCATATTTGAGCCAAGAGGCTGAAACATTATTACCTACAGTACAGTTCAGCAGTCATGATGGTGATGTTAGTATAACTGAGTTATATTAATGGGTATGAGTGAACTGGTTTTTGTTGTTGTTGTTGTTTGTTTTGTTTTGTTCTATTTCCCAGCAGTATAAGTGAATCATGTGGAAATGACAGTGTAGACAATGTACAGACAGCATTGGGTTAATCAAGGATGGAACTTTTGAGACTCAATGTTCAAGGAGCACTGTGTTTTTAGAAAATAAAGCAAGCCTATTTTCCTGAATTATAATGCCGATTCTGGTTGAATCTGTTGGAGAGTTTGTTTTATCTAAGAACTTTCCAAAAGAAGCTGTTTTGAAAAGCGAATAATGACATTTCATCATATACTGACATAGACTCCCAAAGTGAAATTTCCATAATTGTGTAATTCTCAGCTATTAAAAATATCAGCAGATATGAACACATCTGATTTGATGACTGCAGTCTTACCATAAAAGTGACTTTTAATGGGGCTAAGAGAGATCAAGACAAAGAATAAATGCATTATTGGCATTTACATCTTTATTTACTCACTCAGAAAATGCTAATTATTTTGAGTACCTGTATGATGCGACACCCTATAAACCAGTGACAGAGGGAATGAATAAGACATTGTTTCTGTCTTCAGAGAGTTTATAGTCTAATAACTAAATCAGTGACTACTCCAAAACATCGGAGCCATG